CTATAGCCTGGGAGACAGCATTTCAGATGGCTCTGAGAAACGGCTCTGAAGAGAGAGTGGGGAAGGTCAGTGTTCTGTATGATTTTAGTGAAGGGGGTGTACACACAGTCAAGCACACATTGTGGCAGACGCTGTCTGCTAGTCACGAGGAGCAGATGACATCATGAAGGATTTTAGTGCTTTTCTGGATATGAGGAGATACAAGAATTGGGCTCATAAATTCTTCTCCTGAAAGTATCTAACTATCTGAACCCCTTTTCTGCCAGTTTTTCCCAGAGCACAGAGTGCCTCATTCCCGATCTCCACCTTGAACTCCTTTCGGAGGGTGTTGAAGGACAGCAGCTGCAGTGGCTAGTGACTTAATTCTCGTAGAACCAGATGGCAAGTGCCATCTGGGATGGGATTTGTTACATCACCTCATCCTGACAACAGATCAACAGGTGAACTCAGGGTGAGCCATTGAGGTTCAGAAAGCTGTACACATTCCCCAGGGTCATGCGGAATCAAAATCTGAACCAATGTTTCTTGGAATTCTAAAACTTTCACTCAAGGTTAAAGAGGCTAAGTGACTTGTCCCAGGTCACCAGGTGAAGTCTGACCTAGAAATCCAGTGTTCATTCTCCCAGTCTAGTGCTCTTTTGACACTCACATAACATGTGTCCTGTAGAGAAGAGCAGATTTTAAATACATAGAGAACATTACAGATTAAACAGAGACAACTGAACTTAATGTACGTCTAATCTTCTCAACTTAGTTTGCTACCTGATTTTTCAAATAAAAACAGGCTATCGGCTTTTTAGCTAATTATATTTTTTCCAAAAGTTTAACTTAACTCTGGAAGGTATTTTCCTTTCTGTAACACTATCATCTTAAAGCTTTTTAGAAATTATTTTCAAGTGCACACTTACTTCCTGATGGAAAAGGAGTTCCTATATCCCTTGAATTGTTCCATATCATTGTCATTCTCAAGTCAATGGCTTTAATACTGTCTTCCCCTAGTTTCTTTCTTCTGTTCTATAATCTGTGTAGTTCCTTCACTTTAATTTCTTTCTCTCTCCCTCCCTCCTTACTCCTTCTCTCCATCCTTTTTCCTTCCTTTCCTATTTCCTTTGTTTAGTAAATATTAATTGAAGTGTTATTAAGTAGATGTCAGGGACAAGACCACATGTTTGATAAAAAGAAACAAACCTACCTGCCTGCCAGAAGCTCATCTTTCAACATTGCATCCTCTGTCCTAGCCCTAGTAGATCCTAAATAGTTTATGTGAATAAAAGTTATATATGAGAATAGAAACTGTAGCATTACTTTGTTTTAATACTTAGGTATAAAAGGAAAGAGTTTTAAAAAAATACTTGCTACCACCTAATTTTTATGTTGAAGACATTTCTCTTCAAAAAAAAATGTTTAGATTTAAAAAGAAAAACAGTTAAATTTTACTTTGTCAGGGAAAAAAAAAAGTGATCTTTTGGGTAAGTGAATAATCCATGTACAGTCCTGAAATTTGCTCTGTTTTCTATTTTTGACCACTGCCTTCACCAAGATTTTACAAGGGGTAAAGACTAATTATCGAAATTTGTTCCTTTAAAAATCTATTCCCTACTTGTGAAATGCACTAAAACAGTCAAAAGGTAGGTAATGGGGGAAGGACAAGAAGCAGCAAGGGAGAAAATCCACGTGTTAGCTCTTCTGTCTCAGGGAACAGGAGCTTTGACAGCACACCAAGCTATCAATATTCATACATGACAAACTGAAACCCATGAAGCTGGGACACATTCCTTCAGTAATGCATCTGTGGGGACGTGAAAAGGATTGGAAAAGACTGAAAGCTAGAAAAGCCATTGCTTTTCGAAAGTGTCCAAATGAGTCTTTCTATGGTGCCCTAGTTTTGTGAGCTCTGCCTTCAGTCTTAGGTCTATTATTTCATTTTTTTGTTTGTCCTTACGATTTGGAAACATGATGAGAGCTTACAGTGAGAGATGAATTGACTCAGGGAATTTATGCTTTGTTTCCAAGGAAGAAAATATAATTTTCAATCCAATAGCATATATATTTTACATGCCCTATAGTAGATAGATATAAATAGAACTACAGAAAGAGAGAAGGAGGAGAGAAAGGGAGAGAGAAGAGAAAGAAAGAAAGGAAAAGCAAGCAGGCAAGCAGGCAAGCAAGAAAGGAAGGAAGGAAGAAAAGGAAGGAAGAAAGAAAGAAAAATGGAAAGAAATGAGGGAGGGAGGAAGGAGAGAAAGAGAGAAAGAAGGCAAGAGGGAGAGAGATTAATTCATTCAGAGCATATTGATGAAATAAATATATCAGTAACTGCAGAAAGAACAAGTCAGCAATAATTTCTATGTTCTGAGACTGAATACAGAAATAATGAATCAGGCTCTTTCCTCAACCAGCAAAAGGAAACTTTTTGCACATTTATTCCGCAGCAAGAAAACAAGGAACCAGAGGAGAGGAGGAGAGATACTCATATAGAGATGTATGGCTCACAAAGTGCCAATCATTCCTATTTCACGATCCAGGGCATCCTCCTGGGAGAGTTTTCCTGAGAACTTATTTTTAAAGTATCTTGAGAAAGTTAGAAATGAATTTTATAGGTGTAGTTTCCCAGTCAGTGTTTTTCAGTGTAAGAAATAATTAAGAGGAAAATGTTTCATGTTTTGGTTGGGTTTGATTTGGTTTTACCTTTTATTCTGGGTCTATAGAAAACAGTTCCATTTAGGGAATCTGGAAAAGAAAGGTTTTTTAAAATATATGTTTACTAAGATTTTTATATAGATTTAATTGTGTGCAAATGTCAAAGTGTATGTTGTGAAACTCCACTTCCTGCAACTTGGGAGTTAGGTCTTTAAAAGTGTATTAAATATGCAGTTTAGGGCTTTAAATTTCACTTAAAAATATGCCTATTGAGAAAATGTTCCTTTAATTTGTCTATGCCTTTGATCTAATATTCATTAAGTATGAGAGGCATTCTGCTAGGCATGGGATATAAAGCTATAAGCAAAGCATATATGATTCTGGCAAGCTGAATATTATATTTAATGGGATAAATGGAGTATAAACAAGTAAGTACACAATATAACATTTTAAGTGGAAAAAGGCACTATGAATAAAAATAAGTAAATATTATGAGGGAATTAAGGAGTTATTTAATTTATTTGGAAAAACAGGGAGGAGCTTACTTAAAAAAAAAAAAAAAGTGTTATATTGCAAAGGGGAAGGAGCAGAGACCAAAAATGAATGTACAAAAATGAATATCTAGCCCATATATTGTTCTGAATGTGATAAAAAATTGTTTTTATTGATTATTTACACAGATTAATACCTGTATTTTACCAGCATATACAAATTCTTTAAAATGGCAGCAGTGTAATAAGTCTAAAGGATTGAGTATGATATATACAATTTGTAGAAAACCTCATATGTACTGAATAATGAACACTGGAAAGGCATAAGAATACCAAAAAGAGATGCAATTTTTAGTGTCTACTGTGACACATGCTCGGTACAATTGTCTAAAGACATGCATCCAGTCTGAGCCTATTTCTCACAAGAACTCAATATGGAAGATATCACTAACTTAGGCCATTCAACTTTTCCAGGATCATGCAGCTAGTATGAGAAAGCAGCAAGATAAAAACAAAGAATTGTCTGATTACATGGCCACACGCTTTTCCTTCATTATTTTACTGAGATTTTAAACACACTAAAAGAGTGAATAATGTGGGAAAACAGGAAAAGTAAGATGTTAAATTTGCATCATGATTAGCCTGATTTCTGGATATAAGTAATGTTAATGATCCAAATCAAACACATTCAACTAACACACTTAACCCTTATTAAGAGAACTTGTAGTTAGTTTTAATGAGATATTTTCAACAATTTTCTTGAGCAGACCATAAGGATAAAAATCAAACATGTTTTTTTTTTTTTTTTTTGTGGTACGCGGGCCTCTCACTGCCGTGGCCCCTCCCGCTGCGGAGCACAGGCTCCGGACGCGCAGGCCCAGCGGCCACGGCTCACGGGCCCAGCCGCTCCGCGGCACGCGGGAATCCTCCCGGACCGGGGCACGACCCCGCCTCCCCCGCATCGGCAGGCGGACTCTCAACCACTGCGCCACCAGGGAAGCCCCTCAAACATGTTTTAATAATATTTTCCCTCTCAGTGGGTACTTGTTCTTTCAATGTTGATGAAACCCTAGGATTTAAATCCATTGATTGACAGTTAAAAGTTTCTTGTTTTTCTCTCATTTTTATCTCACTTTCTATTTAGGCTTCCTGCAGCATTAGTGCTCTGTGAAACTAAGAGTGAATGAATGAACAATCGTCATTCATACACTCTAATTCTACTCTAGATATTTGATGATAAAACCATTTTTACTTCCCGTTGTTGGATATCATTTCAAAACTATAACCAAGGGCTTCCCTGATGGCGCAGTGGTTGAGAGCCCGCCTGCCGATGCAGGGGACACGGGTTGGTGCCACGGTCTGGGAAGATCCCACATGCCGGGGAGCGGCTGGGCCCGTGAGCCATGGCCGCTGAGCCTGCGCGTCCGGAGCCTGTGCTCCGCAACGGGAGAGGCCACAACAGTGAGAGGCCCACGTTCCACAAAAAACAAACAAACAAACAAACAAAACTATAACCAACCCAATTATAGACACAGTCAGCTTCCAAGTACACTAGTGAGATGCCATGCAATGTCTTCAGAAGGTATTTCATGTAGTTTTCCAGTTCAAATCAAGTGTATCCATCGTTAATGTACAATGATGAATGAAAAAATATACGTAATTTAAATATACATAATACTTAAATATATGAATATTATATGTGTATATATCTTTTCAATTATGGTGTTCTTTTTTAATATCACAGTTAAATAACTGGGAAGGACCTAAGAACGTGATAGTGAAGCTTTCAAACCTAAGGTAACTTGATTGCAGGACACACAAACAAACGCCTTTGCATTTATACAGATTCCTTTTGTTTTCTATTCTTAGAACCTCAACCTACTGGCTCACTCGCATCCAGTCTTTTCTCTACTGCAATGAGAATGGGCTCCTGGGCAGCTTTTCAGAAGAGACGCACTCGTGCACGTGTCCCAACGACCAGGTGGTCTGCACGGCCTTCCTGCCCTGCACGGTGGGCGACGCGTCCGCCTGCCTCACCTGCGCCCCTGACAACCGCACCCGCTGCGGCGCCTGCAACACGGGCTACATGCTCAGCCAGGGGCTCTGCAAGCCCGAGGTCGCCGAGTCCACCGATCATTACATTGGCTTCGAGACCGACCTGCAAGATCTCGAGATGAAGTACCTGTTGCAGAAAACGGACAGGCGACTAGAGGTCCACGCCATCTTCATCAGCAACGACATGCGCCTCAACAGCTGGTTCGACCCCTCCTGGCGGAAGCGGATGCTCCTCACTTTGAAGAGCAACAAGTACAAGTCGAGCCTGGTCCACATGATCCTGGGTCTCTCTTTACAGATTTGCTTAACTAAAAACAGCACCCTGGAGCCGGTGTTGGCCGTTTACGTCAATCCCTTCGGAGGCAGCCACTCTGAGAGCTGGTTTATGCCTGTGGATGAAAACAGCTTCCCCGACTGGGAGCGGACTAAGCTGGACCTCCCCCTGCAGTGTTACAACTGGTCGCTGACTCTGGGGAACAAGTGGAAGACATTTTTTGAGACAGTGCACATCTACCTGAGGAGTCGCATCAAGTCAAATGGCCCCAACGGCAACGAGAGCATTTACTACGAACCTCTGGAGTTCATCGACCCTTCCCGGAACCTGGGTTATATGAAAATCAATAACATTCAAGTGTTTGGCTACAGCATGCACTTTGACCCGGAAGCAATTCGGGACCTGATTCTGCAGCTGGACTACCCCTATACTCAGGGATCCCAGGACTCAGCACTTTTGCAACTTCTAGAGATAAGAGACCGTGTAAATAAACTCTCCCCGCCCGGTCAGCGTCGTCTAGATCTTTTCTCTTGCTTGCTTCGTCATAGACTCAAGCTGTCTACAAGTGAGGTGGTGAGGATCCAATCTGCTCTGCAGGCGTTTAATGCCAAATTGCCAAACACAGTGGATTATGACACGACCAAATTATGTAGTTAACCATAAATGTCAAGCACAACCCAAAATCTTGAAGGAGTTTTTACAGTGCTTTTGTGGAACAGTTTATGTTTGGAAGAGTAAATTTAAATTGTCTTTTCAATATCTGTCTTATATCAGTCAATAACATTGGATGGCAATTTACACACATGAACTTGCTGACAATGAATATATTATACTGCAGTTTTGGTTTCTGAATGAAATAAATACTGACGCCAGTCTAGAAGACATTCTACTTTTTACAATAAATTTCATTTGTAATTTTATATGTTCCGTGGCAATGCTTTTGTGCATTACATCCTCTAGAGGGAACATAAAAAGATACCAATAAAATTTTGTAGCTGAACAGTTATTAAAAAGAAGTGCTGTGGGATTCCTTTTTTCCATGAAATGAGTTCTATTTTGATATAGCTTGTTAGAACCTGGAGAAAATTCCCCAAGATATTTTAATTGAAACACTTGAAGGTCCCTTTCAACAGACTGTA